AGTCAGAATCGACTCTAGGGCAGTGGGTGGTATACCCATACAAGGAATACTTCTCGCCAATAAAAAAGGAATGAACTACTGACACCTGCAATATGGATGAATCTCAAAACCATTACGCCATGTGAAAGAAGCCAGACACAAAAAACTACATACCATATCATCCCATTGATAAAAAATCCTAGAAAAGGCAAAATGATAATGATAGAAAGTTCAGTGGCCACCAGGGACCAGCGACTGCAGCAATGGCATGCTGGGGCCGGCACACATGGGTCAGTGTGTAATGATTCACGAGAGCCCATTAATCATGGTGGGAGTATTTACACCATTCAGCAAATGCGGCAAATGAGGTCTCCCCCGCTTCTTCCCCCAGAGAACCAGCTGTCATACACCAACACATCACTAAGGTGGGGGAGGAAAGGATTAACTGCCAAGTGACTCATATGAGGGAATTGGGGGTGAAGGAAATGTTCTACACCATCATTGTGATGGTGGTTACATGACTATATATTTGTCAAAACTCACTGAACACTGAAAATTGGTCAATATGATTGTATGTAAATCACACCTCAATAAAGCCAACCGCCCTCTCCCAAAAAAAAAAATCTTATAGTGGAAGTGGACTACTTAATGTGAGCACTCATTAAAATTTCAACAACCAGCTGTTGCCTTTCTGCTGAACAGAGCGGCAGACAATAACAGAAACACAGACAAGTTTATCTGTGTCTATAAACGTCTGTATCTCAAAAGTTAACTTTATCATTGTGCTTCTGGCTCTGAAGGTTTTCATATGCCAACATCCTCAGGTTTCCCACATCGAGACGGGATCTGTTCCATAACTCAAAAGTTATACACTCATTCTCTAATAAATCTACTAACTGGAGGCTTTTGACGTTAACAGTACACACAGCAGCCGAGGGCTAATAAATTCACACCCTTTAGCGAAAGAGATCAAGCCAGAGAACTGACGCGTTCAATTGTGAATCAGCAAAAGGCATGCTTGCTCCAATTCCCAAGGCCATGTAGGCATCATATCCCTTACTTTAAAAACGCACAACCACATAGATGTCGATGTTATCTGAAGTACGAGTCTCTAATAAATACCGCTGGGGGGTGAAAAGGAGGCTGGTCAGAAGGAAAAGCGTACGGAATGTAATGTAAAAGTATATCGGGTAAATGGGAGTGTTCAGCAAATAATTCTGGAATTTCATTCATTCAACAACTATTTATTGAGTGAGTGGAGCCCTGGTGGCGCAGTGGTTAAGAGCTTGACTGCTAATCAAAAAGTCAGCAGTTCGAATCCACCAGCTGCTCCTTGGAAACCCTATGGGGCAGTTCTACTCTGTCCTATAAGGTCACTATGAGTCGGAATCGACTCGACGGTAATGGGGTTCATTATAGAACGTTTCCTGTTGTATGCTGTCTGATTGTTGTAAGTAATAAAAGCTACTCTCCATGTGCCAACGTGTGTTCAGGCTCTGATGGGAAGGACATGATGTTTATGGAGCAATCCATATTAGTTATTGGTGCCCTTTTTCTAATGGCCTCCCGGCTCCCTGGAAGTTGGGCACAGCCTGTGTGCACAATGCAGATCTGGAGTGTTGTCCTGTACAGGGAAAGAGGAATGCTGGTGACGTGTGTTGGAGGAGGAGGAGCTGCAGTTTCAAATCGGGGGTCAGGGAAGGCCTCATGGAGAAAGGGACACTTGAACAAAGACTTGAAAGAGGTGAGGAGGAGCCACGAGGATATGTGGGGAAGGGTGTACCAGGCAGAGGGAAGTCATGCAAATGCCCAGGGTGGGAGCAAGGATGGAAGCTCTGCACAACAGCAAGGAGGCCGAGTGAGTTGTCTGAACATCTCTAAATCAATTTCTTCACCAAAGAGTGAGTGTGTGCTTTCAGGCGGAAGGTGCCAAACGGCCTTACTGTGTCTCAAACATGGTGGGCGACAGCAGTGGCTGCAGTGGGCAGGAAAAGCTCTCCCTCCAAGGAGCCATGATCTGAGCGTTGCCTCTCTCTCTAGCAGAGACCACAGGGCAAGAGGGACTTAAGACTCTCATGGCAGGAGACAAGGTAGGCAGGACAGCAGCAGAGAGGCCCCTGCAACAGGAGCAAATGTTAGAGGATCGCAAAGAGAGGTCAGAACAGTCCCTGCCTGTCATCTATGGTGGACTGATAAACACCACCATGACAAATGAAGAAGAAAGTGACATTGTCAATGATTTCATTCTACTTGGATCCACAATCAATACCCATGGGAGCAGCAGTCAAGAAATCAAATGACATATTGCATTGGGCAAATCTGCTGCAAAAGACCTCTTCTGAAGTTTTAAAAAGCAAAGATGTCACTGTGATGATTAAGGTACACCTCAACCAAGCCATAGTCTTTTCAATTGCCTCATATACATGCAAAAGCTAGACGATGAAAAAGGAAGACAGAAGAAAAATTGGTGCATTCGAATTGTAGTGTTGGTAAAGAATATTGACTATACTGTGGACCGCCAGAAGGATGAACAAATCAGTGTTAGAAGAAACACAACCAGAATGCTACTGAGAAGCGAGGATGCTGAGACTTCGGCTTGCTTCCTCTGGACACGTTACCAGAAAAGACCAATTGCTAGAAAAGGACATCATGGTTGGGAAAGTAGAGGGTCAGTGAAAACACGGGAAACCCTCAGTGAGATGCACTGGCACAACAGCCACGACAATAAACTCAAAACACACCAACAATCATGAAGATGGTGCAAGACTGGACACTTTTCGTTCGATTATATATAAGGTGGCCATGACTCGGGCCCAACTTGATGGCAACCAACAACATCAGCAACGGTGTTGATACTCTACACACAGAAGGAAAAGCACCAGAAGCTAGTCCACTGATCTGAAGCTGGAGAAGCACAAACCAGTTGGGATAGAAATTAAGATAGCTCTAAGCAGACTTTTCTACATTGACATTCAGCTCCTTTACTTCTCCCAACCTGTGTGTTTTGAAGGGGCCACAACCCGTACTGATTTAACCCCTGGTGTAGGCTCCACGAATGGAGCTCTGGTGGCCCAGTGGTTAAGAGCTAGAGCTGCTAACCAAAAGACTGGCAGTTCAAATCCACCAGCCACTCCTTGAAAACCCCATGGGGCAGTTCTACTCTGTCCTATAGGGTCACTATGAATTGGAATCGACTCAACAGCAACAGGTTTGGTTTGGTTTGGTTTTTTGGTAGGCTCCGTGAAGCCCTATTGATGAAAATGTGCTGCAGTGGTCTTGGTGGACTATGGGGGTATGTCAACAATGAGCCAGAGTGCTAAGGTGGGTGATGAGCATTGTGAGCTGAGCCCCAAGTGGGTGACTGTGTGTGGTTACTGGATGCATTATTGAACAGCACACAGAAGCTGGCCCCCTACAGGTTAGAAAAGGAACACCCTGGAAGCATCTGGGTACACAGCCCTGGCTGCTCCTCCCCCAGGCCTGGGTCTAGGAAATGGGAAGATGGGCTGCATTAAGACCAGGTGGGTACTGGCATAGGGCACTGGTGAGTCAAAAAGCACAGGGCAAGCAGATGTAAAAAGTTCTGGACCAGGAGCAATATACTTGGTTTCTAAACACCACAACTGGTCATTAGGCTTTGAGAGTTACTTAACCTCTCTGAGCCTCCACTTCCTCATCTTTAAAAACAAGTCACCCAACTTCTTAACGTGGCAGTCGGTAGAATCAAATGAGATAATGTATGTGAATGTAGCTGGCAAATGGTGGGTGCAAGACCAGCAGTTCTCAGAGTGTGGTCCATGGACATGGGGGGAGAGGGGGTCCTGAAACCCTTTGAAAAGATCTGAGAAAACCTCCCTTTTCCAAATATATATCTGCATCTAAGTGAGCCCTGAATTTCTCTGTATATTTCCCAAAAAACTGCTGATAGAATCCAGCTGTCCTCTATTAAGCCAAAAAGATTTTTAAAAATGTAAAACGATGCCTCTCACTAAATATTTTTATTGCGGAAAATACAGTTATGTCTCATTTAAAATGTCACGTGTTAAAATGTAATTTTTTAAAATTTTTAAATGAATACAAGTTTTTTTAAAATTTGTTTTAATTTCTAATACTGCAAACAATAGATAAAAACAAAAGCTCTTTGACGTCTTCAATTTCTAGGAGTGTATAGGGGTCCTGGGACCAAAAAAGTTTGGGAACTTCTGTGCTAAACAAACCAATGGAAGGTGTTTACTAGCTTCTTCAACCTGGGGCTGCCTCTCAAGACTCTACTCCAGGACACCTCTTACAGAGTATCCAACAAACACAAACCCACTGCCGTGAGGTGGATTCTGACTCATTGCGACCCTACAGGACAGGGAAGAACCGCCCCATAGGATTTCCAAGGCTGTCACCTTTACAGAAGCAGGCTGCTACATCTTTCTCCCGCAGAAGGCAGGTGGGTTCGAACCGCCGACCTTTCGGTTAGCAGCAGAGTACTTACGCACTGCGCCATCAGGGCTCCTTTACAGAGTATGACTCGCACGTTTTTACATTTGTAGGGAGACAGAAGTTTTGTTATGGGGGCTGGTAAGAATACAGTTTACGCCAGCTAAGGTTTTGTACCCATTTTCCGGGTCCATGCAAAGGCCCTCCCCGATGCAGTATGAGCGACCTCGCCGGGCGTAGGTGGCCAGGCAGGGCCGGCTGGGCACACGGAGACCGGCCGGCGGGGTGCCCGCGGGGGTGTGGGGACCTGCACTCACAGCCTCGGCAGCGCCGCCTCCGCTCCGCGCACCGCCCTCCGCAGCAGACGCAGCGCCATCTTCCCCACGTGTGCGCGCCCTGCCCCAGCCACGCCTCCGCCACGCCCAAAGCCCGCTTCTCCCCGCCCACGGCCAGCCCCCTGCCCACTTGTCTCCGCCCCCACTTTCCCCCACCGACCGCCGGTCCGCTTCACCCTGCAACGCCCCGCCTCCGTCCTGTCCGGGGCTCGGCTCGCCGCGCCACGCCCTCTCCGACCACGCTCCGCCCTTCTGGCTCCGCCCACGCGTCTCCCTGTGTCACCTCCCCCACGTCCAGGCATGACCTAACAGGTCCGGACCAGAAGGCCCAAGGTCACTGGCCTGTTGGGCAGAGTTCTCCAAATAATCTTCCTCGTTTATGTGCGGGCCAGAGGAATAAGACGATCTGAATGGTTTTTTGAGATCCTTGGGTTTAAGAGATCCTTGGGTTTTCCCGGCCAGAAACCGGCCAAATTTTCTAGGGATTTCTTTGCTGTTTTTGTTGTTAAAATAAAGCCTGAATCAGTTTGTGAGCCTCAGTGTCTGCATAGCTTGGTTAACAATTAATCTAGGAGGGGTCAAAGAAAATGCAGGAAGAACTCCATTATGGGTCACACATCCCTGTAACAGGACCAGAGACAGCTCTGGACAGCTTTCTGGGCCACAGAAATGCATGCTGAAGAGAGTGGCAGGGGACACAACTCTTCACTCTGTCCTGTCTGTCCTTCAGCGAATATTACTCCTTTCGGATTCACAGTCCTGAGAACGTTAAAGTATTTAAAACGCGGTACTCTGCCCTGTCCCACTGTACGTCATCTGCTCCATGTTGCCTAATCCATTCCTAATCCAATGAGTACTTCTACCTACCTATGCCTAAAAAGCCCTAGTGATGCAACGGTTAAGCACTCGACTGCTAACAGAGACGCTGACCTTGGAACTCACCCAGCTGCTACGCAGCTCTGCGGGAGAAAGCCCTGGTGATCTGCTTCTGCAGTTCTACTCTGTCACATGGGGTCATTATGAGTAGGAATCAACTGGATGACACCCAATACAACAATTTATCGCCTAGTTCCCTGTGGATGTTCAATTTCTGAGGGACAGAAGTAATATTGTTACATCCAATACCAGCAGGAGGTGTGTGCTCAATTCCTCCTGCCCCTCAGGCTCATCCCACGCCCAGTCCATCCAAGGCTACCTCCCTTGTCCTCACACTAGCCATATTGGAGATGGAGGCAAAAGGAAAAACCAGTAATCCTGATTCTGCCTTTATTTAAAATTTTGATATTTTGTTTAGAATGGATTTTTTTACATGAACTTTGATGTTTTAAATATTGTATTGAAATATCATTTCCCGTAATTAGTGAGTTTTTTGGTCCCCACGCCCTTAATTTAGTATCCAAGGCTGGTCCCCTCACTTGCCTCTCCCTAGTCCCAGCCCTGATCCGGGCTACCATCATTTTTACCTGGATTATTCCAAAGCCTCCCCGTTTCCACGACTATCGCCTATAATCAACCCTTTTACTATACAGCCAGGCTGATCTTTCAAAAGCCTGACACTCAGCCTGTGTAATGGTTTGAATTATGTCCCCCCAAAAATGTGTGTATCAATTTGGCTGGCCATGATTCCCAGAATTGTGTGGTTGGCCTCCATTCTGTGATTGTGATTATGATTGTAATTTTATGTTAAAGAGGATTAGGGTGGGATTGTAACACCACCCTTACCCAGGTCACATCCCTGATCCAATGTAAAGGGAGTTTCCCTGGGGTGTGGCCTCACCACCTTTTATCTCTCAAGAGATAAAAGGAGAGGGAAGAAAGCAGAGAGTTGGGGACCTCATACCACCAAGAAAGAAGTACTGGGAGCAGAGCATGTCCTTTGGACCCGAGGTTCCTGCGCAGAGATGCTCCTAGTCCGGGGGAAGACTGATCATGATGAGGATCTTCCTCCAGAGCCGACACAGAGAGAAAGCATTCCCCTGGAGGTGAAGCCCTGAATTTGGACTTTTAGCCTACTTTACCGTGAGGAAATAAACTTCTCTTTGTTAAAACCACCCACTTGTATTTCTGTTAGAGCAGCGCTAGATGACTAAGACAGCCCAGTTCCACTGTTTATTAGCTGTGTGACTTCGGGCAAGTTACTTAACTTCTCTGTGCTTCAGTTTCTTCTCTATAAAACGGGGATATAAATAGTACAATCAGAGGATTGTTACAGGATATACTGAGTTAATATATATAAAGAGCTTAAAACCTTGCCTGGCCGAGAGTAAGGGCTTGATCAGGTCAGCTACTTCTCATTATTATTATCACTTCGATTCCTTTCTTAAAACCCTTCGGTGGCTTTCAATAAGAAGCATGTAGAATTAAATCCAAATTTTTCACCAGGGCCCTCAAGCCTTATATGATCTGGCCTCTGCCTGCCTCTCTAATCTTATCTCACAGTCCCGCTTGTCTTCTTTCCCTGTTTTTTGTAAATCACTAAGCCTTTTCCCACTTCAGGACCTTCATATACACCGCTCCTATCCCCACAACGCTCATGGCTACACCTTCTCATCCTCCAAGACTTCTAGCCCACGTGCAATCTGCTCAAAGGGGCACAGCAACTTGATGGTTTCCACCGCAGCTCTCATCCTAATGTCTATTTATGTACGTGTTTATTTACTTTCTTATTTTTGCCTCCCCGCAGTGGTTGGGGGTGGGGAGAATTATCGACCATCTATCAGGTGAGCTTTTGGGGGTGGGGGCAGAGGTTGTCACAATGAATGGAATCATTACTGCCGTTTAGTGGGCAGGGCTAGGGATGTGCTGGGCCGTCCCCTTCATAGAAGGGCCGCTAGTGTCCTGGTTTAGGAACACCATCTGCAGCGCTGGACTCTTTGAAAGCAGGAACCTGGTGTGTCTTGTTCACTGCTGTGCCCCCAGGCCCGGCTCAGTGGATATACGATGAAAATGTGCCGCCAGCCTCATTACAGTTCTGAGCACTACCGTATAAGTAGCTGTTGCTATTAGGTGCCGTAGATTTGATTCCGACTGATAGTGGCCCCATATGACAGAGTAGAACTGCCCCATAGGGTTTTCTTGGCTGTAATCTTTGTGGAAGCAGATCGCCAGATCTTTCTCCTATGGAGCCTCCGGGTGGGTTCGAACCAACAACCTGTCAGTTAGCAGCAAATGCTTAACGGTTGCGCCACCGGGGCTCCTTATATGAATAGTTACCCTTATTAAAAATGACCATTTTTGGTAAGCAGGTCATCCAATGACTTACAAGCAGTTCTGGGATTATGAACGAGTTCCGTTAACAAATCTGTCTTTAAGTCGAATTTGTAGTAAATCGGAAAAGTCAGTATGGTTCCTATCTAACGTAAGTTAGTCGAATGTTTTCTTAGCATATAACGTGCCTTTCTAAGAATGAAAAACATTAAAGAAACACTTCCAAATGCAATAAAACATCTTTAACATGTTACAGTAATGATAATGTTTTGATGCGCGTCACAAATAACCATTGTATGTACCTTGAATTTTTGATATAATAGGCTTTTAGGGGGTTCGTTTGTAACCACGGGTTGTACGTAAGTTGGGTATTGGAAACCCGGGGCTTGCCTGTATTTGCTAAATGGTTTCCCTTCAGATTCTGGTTGAAGAAATTGTAGCTGTGCCCATTCTCACCAAGAACGTTGTGGTTTTGTTACACTTCTTAACGAGCCCTGGTGGTGCAGTGGTTAAGAGCTCCGCTGCTAACCGAAAGGTCAACAGTTCGAATCCACCAGCCGCTCCTTGGAAACCCTATGCAGCAGTTCTACTCTGTCCTATAGGGTTGCTATGAGTCTCAATCGACTCACGGCTACAGGTTTGTTTTTTTTTTGGTTTAGTGAGATTACTAATTTGTAGGTTTTAAGAACTGTTTTCTATGCCGGTATATCTTAAAAATAAAGCTTTATTAAATCTGTCTACATAGTGTGTGGATTTCTTGGGGGCATATTTCCAGATAAAATATAAAAAGGGATCCAGGATCCTCCTCTGAGGTTAGCCAAGTCTGTCTTTACTCACAGCCTCTACAACTGAAAAGGGAGGAAAAGTATACATTTGCCCAAGGACGGCAAGAGAGCGTCTGAAGTTCAGTAGAGAGAAGTAGCTCCAGGAGACCCAGTATTGCCTCGTAAGAGCCTGGCTGCAATGTCAGAAAGGAGGACCGGGGATAGAACAGCACACCTCTAGGGCATGATGGGAATTGGGGCTTGTTTTCTGGGACTGCTGCACTCACTGACCACAAATTGGGTAGCTTATAAGA